TGTTTTAGTTCCTGGGCGGAATGGCGTTCTCTACCTAGCCCAGTTGATGGGTCTGTGGGCCGCGCGCGCAGCGCGCTCCGTGTTTGCAGTCCGCCCTGGCGGACTCGTTTACACTTCCAAGCTCAAGCCAGGCGCCGCAGGCCAATGAAGAGGAGCGCAGATTAAAATGGCGCCAGAGGCTCCCCGGGCCGTCCGCGCACAGAATTTGTCTAAAAACAAAACAAGAAAATCGATGAGACACCACTAGGGACTTGGGGGGCTCTCCGATCTCCATCTCTCCAGTACTCTCCAATCTCCAGCGTCGCTACATCTTAGGCCGGATCCAGTCAGATCTCCGATCTCCATCTTCAATCTCCAATCTCCAACGTCGTCATCTTAGGCCGGATTCAGTCAGATCTCCGATCTCCATCTCCAATCTCCAATCTCCAATCTCGATTCGGGGGCCCGGGGGAGGAGGGGGCTCAAACCTTCAAGGAGATGCGCTATGGATTCATTCACAATGCAAAAGGATCTCCACCCTCTTTTCGCGCCATTTTGCAATCTCCAGTCGGCCCACACGATCTCTAGGCGCCTTTGGCGCGAAGTCAGAATCTCCACCTCTGTCGCAAGATCTCAAGCGACTGCACGCACCAACTCGAGATCTCAGACTCCTCTCGAGCATCTACACCGGAGAAGATTTGCCTCCACCAGTTCTTCAATCTACTGCTGCTCTTGGCAGGAGATTTGCCACTTAAGAGATCTCTAAAAGGCATCTACGATCTACAGTCCACAAGGATCTTCCGATGTTGCGTAGAGATTTCCATGTATGCGCCCCGCCCGCCCAATTCATATTCAAAATGATGTATGAAACCGAGATATGTCACACGCCAGTACAGTTCATATTATACAATGTAACTCAACTATTGACACAAAGATATACGAATCGATCTCGACGCGCGCTCTCGATGCGCGTGCCTCTAGCTAGTGCTCGAGGGCGGTCGTCGCCGCGCCTACCCGCCGCAAGAACTCGGACAGGCGGTCGCTCGGCGGAGAGCCGCGCAGCGTGAGCCCTTCCGCCGACACGCTCGCCTCCGCCTCGAGCTCCGCCTTCGGGGGCGAGGGACCCGCGGTGAGGTGCCCGCCGCAGCGTCCGCCCTCGCGCCCCCTCCCTCCTCTCGCAAGGCGCCTCATACAGCAGCTCCGCCTCCGCCACACTCATCACCTCGAGCCCTCCGCTGGCACCGCTGCCGCCGCTACGGGCCTAAGAAGCACACGCGACTTCAGGCGTGGTCATTCGAGCACAGAGCGGCGAGTCAAGCACGCCGCGACAGCCCTCGCCTCCTCCTCCACCTCCTCCTCCTCGCTCTCCTCCTCGAAGTCCTCAAAGTTGAAGATGCCGTCTTCCGACCCCGCCGCGCTTCCCGACCCGCGAATTAGCGCCTGCTGCAGCCGCTCCGATGCGCCGCTGCTGAAGACCAGCCGCTGTAGGGCGGAGATGTTGGAGGCGGCGTGGGCAGTCGCCATCTGGAACGTGGATATGCAACGGTGGCATAAAGTGAATGATACACCGTCGCAAAACTGCATTGGGTCTCGAGTTCGAATCCCGCAGTTCGACTCGGCGCAAAAAACCCAGACGGGCGTTGTCACTGGTTCGAAACCCACCTTAGCGTTCACCCGCTATCCGCCGGTACCCAAACCGGATGCATCTCCGCACGACCCAGGAATGCAGATTTGCGACGGTGTATCATTCACTTTATGCCACCGTTGCATATCCACGTTCCAGATGGCGACTGCCCACGCCGCCTCCAACATCTCCGCCCTACAGCGGCTGGTCTTCAGCAGCGGCGCATCGGAGCGGCTGCAGCAGGCGCTAATTCGCGGGTCGGGAAGTGCGGCGGGGTCGGCAGACGGCATCTTCAACTTTGAGGACTTCGAGGT